TGTATATCAATTTTGTTTGTAAAATTATAATATTTATATTGTACATACCTGATATTGAACAGGGATATAACTATTTACTATTAGCTCTTGAAGTTGTAATTCTCGTCCAATACCTCTGACTCCTTCCAAAAGACCTTCCATTTCTCTTTGATGTTCTTGCTGCAAATCAGATAATTCAGCCTTAACAGACATTAACATCGTATGCACTCGAGCTAATTTTTTAGTTTTTCCTGCAGCTTCTTCTTGTAAGGAAGAATATTTCTCTTCTATATCAATGCGTTCAGCTTCCTTTGCTTCAATAGCTTTCTTTAATTGTTCTTCTCTACTTTTGCGTTGATCAAGTTCAATTGCTGCAGCAGCTAATAATTGTTCTTGAGCTTCTGCTTTTTCCAGTAAGTTTTCACCACCAACTAAAATCTTATTTTGCAAATTTTGCATTTTTTCTCGTAACGCTTCCTTTTCACTCCTGAAATCATTAATATTTTATAAAAAATATGTTTTTTAAATAAGTTTATAAAAACTTACTGAGTTCTTTTCAATTCTATGACATCTTTATCATCAGGACTTTTATCTTCTCTTTCAGCTTTATCAATTTTTTCATTGGAATCTGCATCTCTATCTTCTAGTTCTTCCATTGTTAATATTTGACTTTTTCTACGTCGTGCCTTTCTTTCGTGTCTAGTTTCTCCAACTTCTTCAGAATCTTCAGTATCTTCTTCAGATTCTGAAATTTCGGTACCATTTTCTTCCAATTGTTTGCGTAATTGTTCAATTTCAACTTGAAACTGACGAAGTAAAGCATCCTTTGGATCTTCGTTAATTCTCGCTCTATTTTTAATATTTTTAGCACGGTTCGCGTAACGAAGTGTACTTATAGTTTCATCGTAATTTATATCTGCTGGACTAATGTTTGCACACTAAATTTGAATAAATGGAAACAATTATTTAATAAACAATATTAAAAGAAAAGAAAATTAAGAATGTTACCATTAAGGTTTTTGAGTTACCACCCAAAGAATCTTGAAGCAATCTTGTTAGTTTGGAATTTCTGTAAGGCACATGTGAACTCTGACCATCAACCAATGCAGATATTACATTACCTAATGTAGAAAGTGATAAATTAATTTTTGTTGCTTCCCTTAAGCGGACTCCAGAAGCTTTGGTTTTGCTTTGTCTTTCTGAGCCCTAGAATAATATCACAATTTAATATATATGTACATATTTTAAAAGAAAAATGTTACATTAGTTACATGAATATCATACAGCTAAGTCAACTAAATGAAGTTTTCCCATTTTAACATGCTGTTCACCATCTTCACCAAGTTGACTGGATTCAACTGTGATTGTAAATATAGCATGGGACCTTGAGCTTGACACATTCATTGCTGTAGCTCCAACAACCCCTAAGTAATATATCAAAATTATACAATCTACATAATGATATACAACATGCTTATTCATAATGACATACTTTGTTATAATATAATATAATTATTCTCAGCACTTTACTAATTAGTACTAATATCTAAATTATAAAATAACATCTTACTTAAAATATAAAATTATAAAAATACATAGCAAAA